CTGTTTTGCTGACCCTGGACTTCACAAGGGGACACAAAGACAAACCCTGCAAACTTCCTTAAATTGATATTTACCAGACACCCAGCGGGTGCTCAGCATCATTCAGGCCTGGGGTTGTAAACCTTTCTAAGGTTGGGGATCATCACAGCCGACGGAAAGCTTTACAAGCAGAGGGAAGTCACTCGACAGACAAAACGCTGAGTTCTTTGTCAGGACTTTCTTCTCCCAAAGCTTTTTACCTCAGGGACCTAATCTCTGTGTCCTGCGTCCCGTAACCTCCCGAAGATCTCCGCCTCCACCTTCTCTGGAGAAGAGGAACCCGCCCCTGGTGATCCGAAGACTTGGGACGGATCCTCTTTGTGTCAGTGGCCAAGGAGGGAAACGGCATTCCCAGGATTGGTTTCATGACTTGTTTCCAAGTTGAGAGGAAATATATGTATATGTATATGTATTTATGTAGGGAATTCCAAAAGAGGGCTTAGTGTCCCTGGCTCGCTCCATCTATTGAGTGAACACACTCACTCAGAGGCTGCAAAATGATCACTGTGACCATGAACCGGTCAGCGAAGCTAAAGCCTACAGCCCGGAAGCTCCAAGGGCAATTAGACGATGACCAGCACCATGAGCACATGCGATGGCGGAGTTTAAAACCTTTCATGGAGCACGCCCTCCTTCTTCATGACGTTTTACCCGGCAAACCCTGATTGGCAGGAGCTGGTAGAGGCAGCCGATGACTTAACCACACGGCACAAGGTCAACCCTTCAAATCGTGCCCACCAATTAATCTCTCACGGACCTCAATTTTCTATAAACCACATTGACCGGCCAAACACATGCCTTGCTTTGCTTCAAACAAACCAAGGAAAAGGACTTGACAAACGGCAGCGCCAGGCTGGGATGTTTCCTCCCGCCAAGTCCACGGTGAGGGGCCTAGCAGTCGTTCTCAGCCATGGTGGAATCACGACTGACCACCACTCTTTGAAACGGGCTGAGGAAGAGCAGCCTCAGAGCTGTCCCCACACCAAGGACACTTGGTGACGACAACGACATTGCTTCTTCGCAGCAGACATCAGCAGGGTCGTGCCACACGCCAGGACTGGAAGAATCAGGTTGTAAAGAAAAGAAGCCGGGGAAAGAGAATGGGATGAACGGTGTGGCAGGTGCACAGAGGTGAGAACAGACATCAAGAGGGAGTGCTCCCAGGCCTCCTGTGTTCACCCCACCACCTGCAAGAACAACTACAGAGGTTTCCTGTGCGTAGAAAGTGGCTCCGCAAACCAGCCGACACCCTTCCCACCACCCGGTGCTCCTTCTGCTGGGAGCGATCGACCCTGGATCTACACAAGATGTGCCTCCCCTGGTGGCCATTCAGCTCTCATTTCAAATGTCACCTTCTGGGAGTTCTAGCTAAAGACAGCCCTTCCCCGCTTGTCCAGTATGAAAAGTTATCTCACGCTTCGTGGGTGTATGTCATCATTCATTCAGGCATACATGTGTGCCTTCATTCATTCACGCATGCATTCATTCGTTCATTCACGCATGCATGCACTTATTCAGTCATCCATGCATTCACTCATGTATGCCCTCATCCATCCAATCACATATTCACTCATTCATTCATTCACTCCATTCCATTGTGTCCTCATTCACATATGCATGGTTGGTTCCTGAGCATATTCATATGTTGTTAGTCAGTGTCCACCCTGCTGTAAGCCCCTGTCTGCTCACGAAGGTCAGCTAGAATAAGGCTGTCACTTAGTAGGAACGGACACCTATTTTCAGAAGGACTGCTCTGAGGGCGAGAACTATGCGTTTCACAAGGTGATAGGATTAGTCTTTCCCAGGAGGGGCTTAAAGCAAACTTTCTGCAGGAGAACTCCTGGGTCAGGACAGAGCCCTGGTGGGCACCAGAGGTACCTGGAGGCCCTCTCCTGTCACTGCTATACTCTCCCCCCACCATGCAGTGGAGGACCAGGATGGAGGACCCAGGAGGGCAGCCAGGAGTCTCTGAAGGATGAGCTGTGACTGGCAGTGGGACTGTGCCCTCCTGCCGATGGGAGGCTGGTGCCTTGGCTGTGAGGCCCCAGGCTGCACTGTGAGACCCTTTGGGGCTGCTCTGAGCACCAGCTCTGGAGACAGCCTCAGTGCAGAGAGAGGCTGCAGCGGGACCGTGTGCTGTCCGGATGTCAGCAGAACCATCTCAAAATAAACACCAGCTCACGGCCTTCACATCGATTTCGACTCGTAGTGACCCTTCAGGACAGAGCAGAACTTGCCTTTGGCTTTCGAGCCTGTGAACCTGCACGAGGGCAGAGAGCCTCAGCTTTCTCCCCTGGAGCGACTCCTGGGCTGGAGTCACTGACCCAGCAGGTGGCAGTTCTGGACACAGCCCATGAGGCCACCAGGGTTCCTTCAAGACGCTTCTAGGAGTTGAGAATTCACACTGCCCTCCATTCCTGAAAGAAGACCCCGAAATGAATATTCAGAAATGCCCCCGGGGGTCTCCCTATAGTCTTTCAGATGCCTAAACCTCAGATTCAGCTCCCAACACAGGCAAGAGTATTGTACAAGGAGGCTTTAAAGGTCTGTTATGTGTCCGTTCCCTTTTCCCATGAACTCTGGTGATCCCCACGAATGTCCTCCCTGCCCTGCTGGCTCATCCCTACCCATACAAGGCTGGTAGACCTGGACCCACACTCACCACCTCCACGTCAGCGCTGGAGCTAGTACACTCGGATTTCGGGAAACAAATTGGCCTGGGCCGGATGGGAGCTGAGGGCCAAGTGCTGGCAGAATAAGGGGATAGAGGAAGATGTTTCATGTAGAAGACGTGGGGATAGAAAGCCCAGGCAGAACTGTAGGGCAGGTTTGATGAACCAGGAGCCAGGATGGAAAGGTCAGGCAGAGAGGCCAGCGGGGCTCATGAAGAAGAGCGAGCCAGGGGAGACTAATGACCCTGTCCAGAGAAGACGAGAGGAGAGTACGACTTGCAGGTTCCCCGGGGCCCCACTGTGCTGGCACACCCAGAGGAGAAGGCGACGCAGGCTGTGCTGGGGAAGCGTCCCACAGGTGCATAGGTCCCGAGAGCCTCGCTCCTGCTCGAGGTGGTCAGAAGCAAGGCTGAGAAAGGAGCTGGTCACCGGCAGGATGGATAAACAGACTGCATAGAAATCACAGGTCAAGGCCAAACCGACCAGAGCCCACCAGGGCAATCTCGTCACGAGCAGGAAAGGCCGCTTGTCCAATGTTGATGCACCCGAAGCATCCCCGGGAAAACACGAGGACCATCTGTTGCAAACCCGCCGCACATGCACGAGAAGCGGACACAGTGAGGGGTGGAAACACGTCATGGCTGACAATACATGTGCCCCCCCCGCCCCCCAGGTGTGTGCGCCCGCTAGCATGGAAGTCATTCTCCCGCCACACAGTTAGCAGACTCCCTGCAAGCAAAGACTTCTTGGGGAGAAATGGGCATGTGAAGGTACCACCGTGGAAATGGGGTATCAGACCAGGTGGGGACACGAAATGCTAAGAAGACGAAGAAGACACCCCCCATCCCTTCTGGTTTCTCCAGGTGTGGGGGTGGGAGCGTTTCAAGGCCACTCAGACACAGCGAGGAAAACCGTCTGACCACATGCTAGCTTTCAGCCTGCAAAGGGACATCATCCGCTCTAAAGAAGACCCTGAGATGATGCCTGTAGGCCAAGGGCTTTCTCCTCTTCCCCTCTCTCCAGACATCCCCCCAAATCCTGTCGGCTCTCAAGGGGTGAACAGGACTCCTTACCTCAACAGAGGCAGAGTGAGGGGGTGGGAAGCCTCCGGAAGGGCAGCAAGAGCTACTAGCACGGGGTCAGCAAACGGACTGTGGACACTCAGTCTGAACATTGGGGATTCACCGACCGAGAGGCAAATTCAAAGGCAGCTCAGCAGGTTCATCCAGATCACGTTCCTATGGCACCAACTAGGATTCCTCTTCTAAGGTTTTTCAAACAGTTTACAAATAAATGTAAAAGACTCCCACAGCCGAATGTCCAGGGCCCCAGTGGCACAGTGGTGAGGCCGGTGCTGCCAACCAGAAGGTGGGCAGTTCAAACCCACCGGCAGCTTGGTGGGGGAAACTCGAGCAGTTGGCTGCTATCAGGATCTACAGCCTTGGAACTGCTCAGTCCTGTGTGTAGGGACTTCAGGGGTCTGAACTGACTGGAAGGACAAGGGACTGGCTTCGTGGCGAAGGACGTGGCCAGGGAACGTGGCTTTGCAGCCCACGCAGTCATGGAGGCGGCCGGCCCTCCAGGCAGTGTGTGTGTGGTTGGTTTTCCCTGCGCGTTTCTTTAAAACTCCATCGATATAAAGCTGCACTGAAACATCCCCAAGTCCCTCTGCTTATAACAAAATCAGATTATTTACTTCATCCAGGAGCTTATGTTCATATTCTAAATTTAATTTAAATATCATTTTAGCTGGAGAGGCCGCGTCGGTTGTCTACTAAGAAAAAAGAGGAGAAAGAAGGCCAAGTGGGGAAGGGAGGCAGTCCAAGTCCATGACCAAGGTGACAGCAGAGCAGCCTTGGGGACGGTCCGACCCCTGCATCCCCTCCAAGAGAGAGAGTCCAGTGGTGCAGAGGCTAAGTGCTGGCCTGGTAGCTGACGATGGGCGGTCTGATCCCACCACCCACTTGCTTCCAGGGCGAAGGGTCACTGTGAGTCAGAGTGCACTGCACAGCACAGGGGCAGTTTGGCTTTTGGTTGGGGCTCTAGGTGGAGTACCGGTTATGCATTGGGCTGCTAAGCTCAAGGTCGGCAGTTCGAAACCACCGAAAGATGGCCTTTCTACTCCCATAGAGAGTTACCGTCTCTGACACCCACAAGGGGCAGTCCCACCTGCCCTCCAGGATCTCTCTGTGAGTGGGAGTCGGCTTGAGGGCCGTGAGATTGACTTTGTTTCTTTCTGGCAAAGGCAGCGGGCACCCCTTGTAATGCTCTCCTGTTCTTATCTTGTAGGCTTTCCTATCGGACGGGGCAAGACACAGCTAACTGTGACACATGCAGGAACAGTGCTTGCATTATCTATAGGTAGGTGTGCCTTCCCCCCTTCCCCGGGTTGCTGATGACTGAGGCATGGTACTCACCACTACCTGTGCCCTGTTGGAGCCCCGCAGGGACGAGCAGCTCAGACACAAGGGGAGGTCCTTTCCTGGGCAGCTCCCTCAGTTCCCTCTAAACACTCTATCCCAGGTAGGTTTCCACCCGCCGACGAGGTAGTGCTGCACCCCACTTCTCTGGCAAATGCCTTGGGGTGGTTTCAAAGATGGGCTCCTGCAGGCGGCACAGATTGTTGGGCAAAGGCTGGGAGGCAGAAGCCCTTCTAGGGTAAAGATCCGAAACTTGAACCCACCTACAGGTGCTAGGAAGGCCGCACCAGGGTCCCAGCTGCTCACCCCAAATAGGCCAGCTCATGTGGGGCATTCACATGGATCCTGGTCCTCATGCCCCCTGGGGCAGGGGCCCCTCTGCCCAAAGCCCTGCACCTGAGCTTCATAGCTCACTACTACTGTGGTCATGAGGAGTTACTTTGAGGTTGGCTTCTATTCGTGACAAGCAGGGGCAGAGACCTCCCTTAGACAGAAGCCATGCTGGACTGTCCTTCAGAATCCCGGCCATCCTCCTGGCTTCCTCACACCTGGAAGTGAATGCAGTGCGAGTGTCAAAGAGAAGCCTCAGGGAACTGGTGCCCCGGAGGTCCTCGGGAAACGTGGGTCAGGAAGCCCCATCCCCTCTGCCCCCCAAAGCACCTCTATAAAGCTCTTCGGTGCTGCCAGCCTCTGCAGGGGAAGCCCGGGTGGGGAGAAGGTAAAAGTAGATTACGTGTCTCTGACACAGGTTGTCCCCGACAGTTGGCACACACCGGTGACGAGAGATCCTACTGGTGACCGCCAGGGTGTGAAGGGTCCTGAGGGTCCCTTGTACACATCATTGTCCCTCCTAGGACCACAGACAATGTTGCGGTGGGTGACTCCAGGTTAGCATTCTCATTCGAACCCCCAAGCTAAACGTAAAGATCGGATTGATCACGATATGGATTGGGCTAACCTCAAGGTCAGCAGTTCAAAACCACCAGCCTCTCCAAGGGAGAAAGATGAGGCGTTCTCCTCCCTTAAAGAGTTACAATCTCGGGAACTCACAGGGCAGTGCGATCCTATCCTACAGGGTCAGGATTGGCTTGATGGCAGTGAGTTTGGTTTTTCTTGGGGGAAAAAAGAAGTATTCGACTTATGTCAGCATTTAAGCTGACGCATCTGAAATTGGGGGCTCCCTGTAGAGCCAAGACGAGGGAGGCTGTCCCATGCCAGAGGGAGCCAGCTGCCTCCTCAGGGAGGCATGGTGATGGGGGGCAGACTGCAGGGTGGGACACTTCAGAAGGGCTCCAGGTTCCTTGAGAGCAGATTTGGGTCACCTGCCCACCTGTCAGGAACAGGCAGAGAACTGGGCAGCTTTGAGTACAGGGTGCCCTGTTCCCACCTGGCTGTATCTACAGGTTCTCAGGTTGGGGCCAACTTGCCTCCCTGCAGCATTGGGCAGTGCTGTAGACATCTTAAGGATCCTTGGCGGCACAGTGGTAACTCTCTGGGTTGCGATCTACAAGGTCAGTAGTTCGAAACCACCAGTCACTCCAAGGGAGAAAGACTGGGCTTACTACTGCCCTAAAGAGTTACAGTCTTGGAAACTCACAGGGGCCGTTCGATCCTGTCGTGTCGGGTCCTTAAGAGCCGGCATCGACTTGTTGGCAATGAGTTTAGTTTGGGTTTTACGGTGCCCCTATTGGTGCAGTGGTTAGCGCTAGGTTGTTAATTGAAAGGTCAGCAGTTCAAAGCCACAAGACACTTTAAGGGAGCAAGACGTGCCAGTCTGCTTCTGTAGCCTGATGAACCCTGGGGGAGGGTCCGCTCTCCTACAGGGTGGCTGTGGGTCAGGACAGAGTCCAAGGCAGATGGCTGGATTTGGGTCCAGGCTGGCAAGGATAACCTTGGTCGTTCCAGCTGGGGAGCTGCCCCTGGCACCTAGTGGCTAAAGGCTTTCACGGCCCAGACTGCGAGGACTCACCCAGGTTAGAGTGTTGACTGCAGGGTGGTGGCGGGCTGGTTTTGTTCTGAATATCATAAAAAATGCTGAGCAGTGGTCACTCGCACTGAGTAGGAGTCCTCTGAGCTGTGTAGGAGGAGGTGATAGCGAGAAGGGCATGTCCAGAATCTCACATCTGGACCCAGCAGACAAGGTCGAGCCATTGAAGAATTAACCAAAGGGCACTGTCACAAAAAATAGCCACCGCACTTAAAATTCTGATTTTGACTTGAATCGTGCAAATTGCCATCCACCGCTGACGTGACGCAGAACTGTGTTTCCCCCAGTGAGTGATGCTGAACCCTGAGGGGGCGGGCGTGGAGTGCTGGAATGACCCCAGAGGGCAGCAGAAGCAGACACCTACCCTTTGTCTGGCTTATGGGCTGAAGTGCAAACGCTGTAATTGCTGGGAGACGGAGGGGGACTGAGTCATTGCTGTTCTGAAAGCAGGGCAGTAGGCAGCATGCATTTGAGGCCCTGAACTTGAGCGCTCTGGCAGTTTCTGCAAGGCGTCCGCCTGTCTTCTCCAGATAGGCTCCCTGGAGCCTGCTGTCCCACCAGATTTCCCCAGTCTGTTTCACACCCGTGGCCCTGGAGCCGATTTCATTGCACGTGGAACAAACCCAAAAGGGCAGAGTAGAGGGAAAACTGCTCCTTAGAGTTTCTGAGATGGAATCGCCATCTCTTCTTTCTCCCGAGGTGTGGAGGGCTCACTGGGAGGACTGGGGCTGCCATGACGAGCCCAGCACTTAACCTACCAGGCCACCAGGGCTCCTAGTCAGCCCCGGCCTTGTGCCACAGCCTGGTCCACAGAAACAGCCACTCACTGGAGACTCAGCTACGGCTCTCTGGTTTACTGCTCTTTCACAGACAAGAGACCCTTTCAGTGACAAATACAAATGGCCAGACAAGTCCGGGGACAAAAGAAACAACATCCCCTTGGTAAGCTCACAGACTGATGAGTGCAGGGCAAACCAGATAGACCCCCATCAATCAGCTCCCAGAGGAGAAAGACCCCGGTAGTGAATCCGCACACAACTCCCGGCCATTGCCAGTACCTGGCATCAGGATTTCAAGGCTGCTCTCGTTAAGGGAAGGGCCCAGCTGACCAAATGCTTGGCCCCTGGACCCTCCAGCATCTCCTTGTGAGAAAGGCCGGCCGATCTGTCCCTTGGACTAGTCACTCCGGGGCCCCATGTGCCTGAGAAGAGGATGGGGCTGGAGTAAGAGGGGCATCCTCAGCAGATGGCTCAGACCACCCCCACCAGGGCCCCAGGGGCCAAGGGTTTCCTTAAGACACAGCGTCCAGAAGCCACTTGTCCTTGGGCGGGAGACGCTGCCTGTGACTGTGGGCACTCAGAGGGACTCAGAGGGACTTTGCAGGCACCCAAGGCTGGGCTGACTTGAGTCCGATTCTCCCTTCCATCACGGAAGCTCACACACTGGTCCTCCTCCAGTGCCTGCGTAGAAGGTGACACAGAAGGGGAAATCGTAGGCTGAAGGCACAAGGTCTTGCATGTGCTGCTGAGCCTGCCCTGCGCTGTGGGGTGGTCAGGTACCAGGGTTAGTAGGGTCTCCATCTGAGGATCCAGGAAGGACCTCCTCCCACAGCATAACACACCACCACCCCCATCCTCCAGGGCCCTTCCTCTGAGTGCCCCTGTGTAGATTAAAGGGGGCCCGAAGTGAAGACATTTTGGAGATCAGGAGAACCCAAGGTCCTCCCAGCCGCCACTTTCCACCTGTTGTAACCTGTCCAACCTGTTGCTAACCCGCACAAACAGGACCTGCACTTGTCTCTTTTCAAAAGCCCAGGAGCCCTGGGGGTGCAGTGGTCACGCCCTGGGCCGCGAACAGCAAAGCCAACTGTCAGAGACCGCCAGCCACTGAGAGAGAGAGAAAGAGAGAGCCCTTCTACTCCCACAAAGTCTCAGCCACCCACAGTGGCAGCTCTACTCTGTCCTAAAGGGTTGCGGTGAGTCGGCATCCACTCGATGGCAGGGAGTTTGGTTTGGGGGTGTGAAATCCAGCAGCCCTCTCCACAGAGAACAAGCAGCGGCCAGGTTTCCAGTCCCTCCTGGTCTGGCACAGCGAAGGGGCGACATGTATGGCCTGGCTGTCTGGAGTGTGCTCCGACGTTCTGACACAGCTCCGGACCATGGTGCGGGAGCAGCGGTATGCATTTCCTCAGCTGCTCTACCGTGGAAATACGCAAGGCTTGGGAGGAAGGAGGAAAAGTCTGGAAGCAATTCCAGCGGAGAAAACAAGCCAGCGACAGCATCAGCGCCAGAAGCAAGAGACGGCTCGCTCTCGGGGCGCCTTGTCCCTCCAGAGCTCCTTGCTCACAAGGCCACCGGGCGTTCAGTGGCACCAAGCTTCTGTCCCTCCTCTCCTTGTTGGCCTTGCCATCAAGTCACCGCCGACTCGTGGTGGCCCTGGGAGTCGGAGCGGCCCTGTGCAGGGCTCAGTTTATAGTGGCTGGCTTTTCAGAAGCAGATCACCAGGCCTTGCTTCCTGGGCACCTCCAGGTGGGCTGCCATCACCAGCCTACTAATAGGCCAGCGCTTTACCGTGTGAGCCAGCCAGGGAACCCTCTCTTGGGCCGGGTGTCCAGGAATCACCAGATCCCGCAGGATCGCACTGCAGAATCAGTCAAGTCCCTTCGGGCTCTGGAGTCCTGGGAGCCTATAATTCACAATTAGGAAGGAAATGGTCCCGAGCGAGGCAGCTGACGGAGAACCAGAGCAGGGAGGATGCATGCCCGGTCACAGAGACAGCCTTCTGGAGTCTGGATGTGGCTTTCAGTGACGCCAACAACCCTCCCTCGGTAGAGTATCCGTTGGGTGCGCCCTACTCCCCAGGAACCCCGAGGCCCAAACATGAGCGTTCTGATTGTGGTGGATACCAATCAGTCCCCCCCACACACCCCTGGCCCTTTTTCTAGTTTCCTTTTC